TACCCAAATTGGAAACACAGATATTGTACTCAACATAAAGTATTTAAGACACACTTAAAATACTTTCATTCATTCAAAATGTAGCACAGCTACACACAACTTCAGTTATAACAAGAATAGATTACTCACTCTTTCAATGAAGAGATACACTCTCACCCTAGTCTACCCAAGAACCCACGACATCTTCTATAACAAGATTCGTGTTCTACACCGTTCTTAATCTACCCAGATGAAAAAAAAAAATCCTTATCACAAAATCACTCTTCTCAAACTTGAGTTTTTAAAGGAGTCCACTCTCACAACTTCTTACTTTCTTTTTCGTGAAGAACTACTTGCAGAAAATCCACAAAAACCTCTATTATATTGGTATACCAAATACCAATATAATACATGGAGTCTTGTTTCGGACCGGTAGATCATACACTGTTCTGTGACAAAGAGCATTGTTTCACATGTCTCTTCACTTGAGCAACATGCCATCCTTGTGATTTTTGCCTTTTGTATAAGGTCACTTCTTTGTTTGTTATACCAAACTTCTGCACCATCTCTCCCACTTGCGTTACCACAGCTCAAGACACTCATTGATATTTACACGTGTGATGCTGACTTCCCACGTGTGACGCTGACTTCAACTTTGTTCGACTCCTGTGTAGCACAGAACTCCTCACATCTTCTTTGATCTTTAGTTGCCATTTTTGATGCAACTACACCATCTCCAAGTGTAGAGGAGATAAGCTGCGACGAAGATTCCCGGCCCGCATCAAAACTCCATCTTCAGTATAGTGAACGTAAAACCAGCCAAGTCTCGAGTATTTATCCTCTGCTTTCAATGAACCATTTATATAGCATCGCGGGCCCTCTTCTGTTGTACATGCCGCGGTAGGTAAATTAATGGGGTACCAGTTCGACCCCATTTGGAACCTGTTGGGTGTAATAAATTCTCCACCTGGTCACAACCAGAGTAGGTTCATAAGATGGAGGTTAAGCACATCATGGACCTGCTTCAGCCAGTTGCTGCTATTTCTTTTCTTAAAGGAGCTTTAGACAGCCTCTAACAATGAACACAAAGTCACAGGTCATGACACTAACCATGTCATTGCATTCGACATAGCTGATGAGCACTTACGAACATTCTTAACCAGCAACGACCTCTATTTTATGGATCAACCACCGACCAACGACCTTAACATCAATTTATTAATAACTAAATGGTTTAGCAAAGTAACCAACTTAACATATTTCTAAAGGAAATAAGACTAAGGACCGACATAACGTCCTACTCCTAAAATAGGATGGACCACCGACAGACAAGCCCAATCCAACAAGGACTAGGGTTTACAAAACCTATATATACAGAATCCCAACTTAAAGACGAGATCATCACAATACACACGCAAAAATCCTATATAGCTACACTTTGGCTGCCTCTCAACGACGAGCGACAAGAATTCTGGCAGTGCTTACCACCAGCGATACGAACTCACGCAGTGCTCCACAACAAGCGACGCAAACTCCTGCAGTGCTCAACAATGAGAGACATGAACTCTGTCTATGCTTACGACGAGCGACGAACGATTGACCAGATCCATCTCCTTGCGATTTCTTTATCGATTCTTTGTAATTCTTATCACAACTCAATGATCAAGAAAATTAACGTCTTCCCGTCATTCCGTAGAACTGTTTTCCATTCGATCTGGTTAAATTTTGCACAAATAGAACCGTTTGTGCTGAAAGTCAGGATTGAC